TAGCACCTTACACTTAGTAGTGCCTGTTCTTGAACTTCATGTCAATGGAATTATAAGGTATATACATGGGGGTGGGCTAAGGAGGTTTACAGGTGTGAGTAAACAAAACACAGAGTTTATTCTTGTATTATTATATATTTATTTATTATTATTAACCTCTTGCTCACCCCTGTGTATATAAATATTTTTTTGTATAAGTTTTGCTCCATGTGGAGATTCATTCATGTTATATTTATCAGTAGTTTGTTCATTTGTATTACTGACTAGTATTCCATGGTATAGATATACCAAGATTTATTTGTTTGTTCCCGTGTTGAATGACATTTAGGTTGTTTCTGGTTTTTTTCCCCCCCCATTACATCTATGGCTGCTGTGTACATTTATGTACAAGTCTTCCTTCCTCCCCCCAGTGACATTTATTCTTTCTTTCCTTAAAAGTTCTAAAGTGAACTTAAAAAAGGCCCCCAAAATAATGCTTTCTGACAGCTCTCTAACTTTTCATTGGTGTCAATTTCATGAACTTTAAAAAAATTATCATAATTTAAAAGTTCCCATCTTAGCTATTTTAAATGCTCAGATCTGTGGCATTAAGTATTCACATTGTCTGAACATGCAGACATTTAAAAATATTGGCTTTTATTTGATTGCAGGTTTTAGCGTTTTGTAAATAAATAAATGATTAGTATTGCAATTAATGATAATAATTGGCTTAATGATTAGTAAGGTGGGCTGTGCTTAAAAGCTTAAGCTTTGAGCCAGAATATGGGGTTGAAATTCTGGCTCTATTAATTATGCTACTTGACAAATTTTTAATCATTGTGTTCTTAATCACCTTCACATTGGAGGTACAATGGTCATTGTCACTTTAGAGAGTTGTGAGGATTAAATGAGATGAAACATGTAAAGCCCTTAGACCAGTGAGTAAATGCTCACTAAACATTGTGAATATTGTTCTTTGATTCTAGCCTTTCCTTTTAGTTTCATATTTCTTACTCTTTTAACCCTTTTGTAGTATTGGCCTACCGGAATCGAACCTGGGACCTTTAAGTCCGCAGGCCGACGCTCTATTCACTGAGCCAAACCGGTTTCGGCGGCCTAGTCATTTTATATCTGATAAATCTGTCTACATTATTGTAGGTGACTATGTCATCATATGGGGACTTATAATACAATTTTTTAAAAATGGACATAAAATGTCTATTGAATTTTTAATAAGAGCTTAGTCTACTTTCCTATGTTTTATATATTCTAGTGCCTTATTACTCAGTGCATGCAGCCGAGAGCTTGGTGTCACCTGGGAGCCTGTTAGAATACAGCATCTCAGGTGGCATTTCAGAATTCCTGAAGCAGAGTCTGCATTGCAACAAAATCCCAGGTGATCCATGTGCCCATTACAGTTTGAGAAGCATCACTATATTGCACATTTCAGCCCACCATTGGCCAGTACAAGGCAGAAGAGCTTGGTCAACCTCTCCCCAATCTGCCCCAAATGCTTTAGGCTTACAGCCCTGATAAG